TTATCAGTGTTAAGGTTATAAACATTTGCAGATAGCAGTGGGACCCTACCCACTATTAAATAAGTACAAATTTTCTTTGTAACTAGGAAGGTAATGTTACTTTAGATGTATAATTGTTTAGAAATAATATACCATTGTGAAATAATTTGCAGTGTCTTTTTTTACATTTATAAAATTATATTTATATGACAGCTTTCCATTTTCATTGAAGCAGGAAAATCAAAAACAAACCAATTCCACAGTTAAAGGAAAATAAGTTCTTAGTTGATGAGTTTTTTTTTTTTCATTTGGATTATTTGTTTATTGATAAATATTACAATCTGTCTCAATAAAGGACATTTATAATAGAGTCCAGAGAGCACATTCACACCATATTTACAAAATCAAAAAATAAATAAGGTAATTTAAAAATAATATAAAGCGAAATAAGAACAAAATAAAATATCACAATGAAGGAAGAAAATATAAATAATAGAATAAAAAATAATTAAAATTTTCTCTAAAAAACAAAAAATAAAATAAACATCTTAGACGCAGGCATACCTATTTACAGTCACTCATGGGAACTCCAGAACCAAACGTCCTCCCCCAAATGTGGAGAGAAAGTGAGGCTTCAGGAGATCCCTGCGCTTCTTCCTTAACCACTTCACTGGTATTAAAAGCCTTTCTTGCTTTTAGATGTAACATATGAGATGAAAGAAAGACATTCAAAATACCGGTCAAGCCAAAACCATGGACGAGCAATAAATTATCTTATTTTCTCCTTAAGGTGGCTCTGAGTGTTGCATTTATTTGCTCACAAACATACAATAAATTTAGAGCAATGAGATAGAACTTATCTTATTAAACCAAATTAAGTAGGTAAAGTTAAGTCACATAAAAAAACAAAATGAATCAACACAATTATTTAAATAAATATATTGTTACCTTAGTATTCACATGGGATGATCCATAATATATCTCACAGCCTCAACTATATACCTATACCTACTAGTTAGATAATGATTACTAATACATAATTACAAAAATGCAGCAAAAGAGATCTAAAATTGAAAAATAGACATAGAAACAAAAGATAATAATGAGTAAGGAATCTTATTTTAGTGATAAGAAATATCTAAAAGAATGCAAACAAAAAAGGAAAGGATTAGAGGTAGATTGTTATGTACAGATGTAATGATTAAAGAGGAAAAAACTCTGTTTAGAATAAGGGTTGCTTATTAGGTAGGATTTTAAGAAAACCTGTAAAACAGAAGGATAATACACATTATTTAATGTATAATCACATCTTAGATTCAATACCTTGAAACATTTAATTATTTGGGGTGGGACTAAAGATTCTGGAAATGAGGAACAGAAACAAATAAATGCACATCTAAAATAAGTAGGACTATCGAGCATAGGCACAGACTTTCGATTTTGATTGGAGGGAGAAGGGATGATGGGCTAAAAAAAGGCCATTTTTTTTTTGTGTGTAAAAAATCAACATAATTATTGCCAAATGAACAAATATATTTATTTGTTTAGTTTTAAGTATTTTTACGAATTATATATACTTAAAAATATCTAAAAAAAAGAAATGAATACATAACATATATTTTTTTAGATAAAACACAGGAAGGAGGAGAAATAGCCTTTATAACATAGATACCTTTCTAGAACTTTCTCAGCTAAAAATGAATGATTTCAAAAAGTAAAAATTATACGTTTTACAGCCCAACTAGTTCGCCCCGGAAAATAAATCAAGCAATCAGCAAGCTCCTATAGTTTACACATAAGTACTAAGATAGGAAATGTTTATTTCAACGTCGCTTATAAATACGGATCAATTTCTATAAAAGAGATCTTAATAAAAAAACTGTTTTATTATTGCTATAGATGTTAAATATCCGTAAATCATTATTTATTTTTATTGTAATAAAATAAAAACTGCATTTATTAAGTTATGTTTATGATAATACATCCCAAGTAATGAGAAGAAATAAATTAAAGCTTTGGAATAATTTATTAAAGTCATTTTTGTTACTATTTTTCTCTACTTATGAGAAACCCTATATTATTACCTTGAAAAGTAATATTTAGGCAGAAATAAAATCATTACATACTTGCTACTAGGTCCTAGCTTAGCTAGCTAGTTGACTTTTCTTAAACGATTTTAGTTTTAAGATATTTTATTCATTTATTTAGTATTGACTTCACTAAGTGCTGAGGTAAACCTTTTGGATAAGCTCAGTTAACAAAATCAAGGAGGAAAATAAAAAGCCAAATCACACATTAATTTTCACTAAATGTATAAATCACAGATTGATACAGAAAAATAACAACTTTTTCAAAAATTAATATAAGTTTTCATATCACTAAAATTTAATTGTCAATAATTTTTCAATTCTTTTGGAACTAGAATTTTCGATGTCTCTTAAAAAAAAAAGACTTTTATTTACAATTACAAATTATAACTCTAATCTAAGAACTTGAATTAAAATAATTTCAACTTTTACTATAAACCTGTAACTTTTTAAAAAAGGTATAACAACTGTAATATAAATACAATAATTTTTGTTATCTTTGTTTGATACCTTTAAATATTTGTGGAGGGGAGAGGAGCTAAGAAAAATCAAGGTAATACATCTGACAAAAGGATATTGTGGAGTTAAAAAAAAAAATTATAGGAATGACTAAAAGCATACAACTCCTTAATTACAATGAAATATATACTTTAAATATCATCTTTGCTTGATACCTTTAAATATTTGGGGTGGAACCAAAAGTTCCTGGGGAATTAGGAAGAGGAAGGGATACAGAAGATATTATAAGGAATGGTAGATGGATACAAAAAGTGTCCATTCAAATCATTGCTTCTGGATTATGTAAGTTTAAAAAGAAAATTTATGAAGGAAAAAACATTCATACAAAAATATTGACATAACACATTTTAAAAAATATATTATCTTTGCTTGATACCTTTAAAAATTTGGGGGTGGGACAATGAGTCCCAGGAATTGGGAAGAGGGAGGGAAGTACATTTTTTTTGTTTTTTAATATATTTTGTGTTGGTAAGGAAAATGGACAGGGACAAGGAAGGGAATATATTTTCATTACTTCTACATATCTAAAGGAATAATTAAACATGACTCAATTGAAAAAAAAAAAAAAAGAAAAAAGAAGATTGCACATAAAGAAAATAAAAAAAGAAGAAAAAAATTGCACGTAAAGGAAAAAAAAAATATATATATAAAAAAGAATATATGTAGTAAGCAAGATAAGGATTTTTTTTTTTTGATTTTTTTAAGGGTTTATACATTATTTTGGTTAAAAAGATCTTTGGACTAGACTAAAAAAGAGTCAAAAATGAAAAGGGAACAGCCATGGGAGTAATCTATATCGGGAGATTCATGAGATCATGGAATATATAGATTTTTAAGGTACACAGATTTACATAAAAAATAAAAGATATGGACATTGCACTAATACAATATCGTGAAAAAATATGGAAGACTTATAGTCTTATTAGTCTTTCGGCACAGGTAACCCTAGCCTATAACTAACTGATAAGGGTCAGTTAACCCTGAAATGTTCTTCTTTGTACTTCAATTAATGACACCTATTTTTAAAAATTTTCACTTGGTCCATAGGTAGTAAATGTTTTTATGTATTTTTCACGGCCACTGATAAATGGAATGATATCATATTAATCAGTCTTATATGCACTCCTTATTTTTGTTTCAATTTATATTCCGTTAGGCAACCAAGCTGATGATCACCAACCATATCAAACCAATACAATACATAAAAGCATAGCTTATCACACCAAATAACATAGAACTGTTTTAATTTATGAATTTGTAAAAGAAATTTTTCAATTAAATTCACTAAATGTGAACAAGAAAGTGGTGAATGTAAGTGAACTTCATAATAACAATCATGACAGAACAGTATATTAATAATTAATCATGACAGAACAGTATATTACAGATAATCATTAAGTATTATTAAGTCTTGAAACAACAAAAAAATTAATACTAACAATACAATTCAATGTTTTCCAAACAAGACAGTCAACAATCACATTATATAGGCATTTCAAAGCTTATACAATCACAGGTATGTATTAAAAAATAACTCTTTTTTTCAGTATAATTATAGTTTATACAATATATAACTTTATATATCTCTCCACTTGGTAATGACGTTTGACTAGATACCTTACATATGTGTATGCTTATCATAATACGTCATTTAAACAGGCAAACACTGTCTTCTTACTAGCTACAAGTACAGGAGCTGACTCATTACAGTGACTTACGTCTCTTGTGTTTATTAACATATGAATTAATAAACTGACAACGCATTAATAAAAAAATATTAAACGATACCAACATTACGAACATTTCGAAATAATTGTTGCTTTTAAATCACAACCTTCTTATATCTAATAAGTAAGCGTAACAGAGTTGCACCGGATGAATGAGCTCCACACTTTTATTACAGTACCCTTAAATTTAGAACATGAACAACTAAAAGTAGCCCACAGGACTAAATGTTCAAAGATTTGTTTGATGAATACATATATATAGATTTTTCAAAACATAACATAAAAATTGCCTGTATTAATCGAAAATAAAAATTAAATTATAAACCTAGTTAAACATTGTTTCTGAAATTTTTTAAATGTATTAATAAACATTGATGGAATTGGATAGATAAATTTTATCTATAAAATCTACAATGCTGTTCAGTTGGTAATACTATAATATCACAATATGAGATAGAAAATTTCTATATGTAAACATAAAAAATTTATTATTTTTTAAAAACAAAACAAGATCCTTCTAAAAATTAACAATTCTGTATACTAAATTAATATCGAAAATCATAAGGTACCTGATCCATCAAAAAAACTTAAAAACTATAAAATTCAACCAATAGCATGCCTACATATGCAGATAGTTCAGTAACTAAAATTGTAAAATTTATGTAAAAAAAAAAAAAAAATAATAATGAGTACTAGAAATAAACAAGACTATTTGAAAAAAAAATCTTGCAAAGTGGGCAAACATCACAGTTTTTTTTATAATCTACATAACAACCAAATAAAAATAAACATGCCGAACTATATCACATATAGGCAATGTTTTAGATAAAACATTAATTTGACTGACTTTAAAATTTCATTCAACTTTGCTAACGGAGCAAAGTTATAACATGAGCAAAACAATGTTTATCACTATGTCAATAATTAAAACTTGAAAATCACATTTATACAAGATAATCACAATGATTTGATCACATTAGACTTACCCTACTTGTGTATTGTGATTATAAGGAAGGGCTTCATCATTATAGGCCTAAAAGACATTAAATAGGATACATTGTTTTGCTCTATAAGCGTATATATAAACATACACCTTATATAATCTATGTATAAAAAATTAAAAATCTTATCATTACATTTTTATTGAAGCAATAACTTAATACTAAATGGTGGATTTCATGGCAGATACTTAAGCTTGGGCATTGAGCAGCAGTTTCATATTCGGTGCAAACCTCGCTGCTTCACTGGAGCAGGAATGATTGATGCAAGCACTCATATGTTGGATGGAAGTCATCCAATGGGACGGTGGCTTAGGGAGAGCTGCAGGCGCTGGAGAATCACTAAACCCTGCATAAAGTTCTGAATATGATGGCGATTGTCTGGGGCTCTTGGACGGAGTTCCTCTTGACTTGCCATTAGGGGAGCCCCTAGGTGAAATGTAACTGCTGTGTCCAAACCTAACTCTGTTTTTCTCCCACTCATGGGCGAAATCGAACTGTTTGCCACGTGGAGAATTCCTAGGTGATTTAGGTTTACCTTTTGATGGTGAATTTGATTTTGATTCCAAAAGAGGTCCATCCAAATCTTGAACATTTTCCACCATATTTGACACAATTGTATTGGTCATTGTTGAAATTCCTAAATATAAAGACTTAAATAAGTATAAAAGCCAAGGTATTATGTAGATTGTCAAGTATATGCAATCAAATTGAGCTGTTTAAATAAAGAGTTAACCCCTCACAAAACTGAGCTGGCCTAGTTCCTGTTAAGGAACAGATGGAACGTCCTTGGGCTAACTGAAGTATATTCTAAGATTTGAAGAAAACAGGTTACCTGAAGATGGAAGATTTAAAGTCAACCTTCGGCGACTGCCAACTGCTATCATCACAGAAGCTGATGAATTTCGGAGTGGAAATGTAATGAAACTAGAAGTAAGCAGTCGTCGCATATATACGACCTACTACGTCAAAAGAGAAAACAAACAAGATGGCTACCAAGACAGCCAATACGTAATCTCTCTCCTTTGACAATCATTAACTGTAAAGAAAACTCACAAAGTTAGATTTACAAGAGATCTATTTCGAAAATTCGACAGTCACAGCTCAAAGAAAAAGCACGCTAACACCTCGGCTTAACATTAAGTTATAACTCACTCAGACACACATCCGAACTCGTCGTCAGCTCACTTCTCTCTGAAAGGCTTCTCCCAAAATCGACAGTCTCTACCTGATACAACCAATAGCAGCTCTCCATTTAGTCACGTGACTCTAGAAACTCTGTCAAAACAACCTACGTCAAGCGGAAATACTTCTGAGGTCACGAATAACTAATTAGTAATCGATGACTATTAAAGAAGTAGTTTAACAGGATTCAAACAATATTCTATGTATATTATTTTAAGGTATGTTTGATTACTTATTAGGGACATATTTTTGATTTACAATTAATAACGATCGGACAGACCCAACCCTTCTCTTACTTTCTATTGGCCGTCTGTGATGTAGGCGTGGTTTAGCAGTGTCGTAATTGTAGAATACCTTGTTTCTTTTACAGCTGTGGAGGATGGTTGTATTGTGTTAAACAAAAGTAGTAGGTTTTTTAAATGTGATCATCATATTTTGATTTTAGGTAAATGTTTAATAAAGAATAGTTTTTTTTTGTCTGTCGTGGTATTTTTATTTGCTGAAGAAACCAATTTGATCACCATCCATGGATCAGTATATTGTTTATTGCATTACAACTAGTATTCTTTTCTGATTTAGTTTTGGAAATACATTTTTCCACATATTTGTTTTCTAAAATATGTGGAAATGCATTTTTCCACATATTTATTTTCAAAAATATGTGTACTAATAGTGCTTGTATAATAAAATTTTAGTTCTGTCATTTATTACTTATATGAATTCCAATGACATACTGCAGTTTTTGTTTTCTATAATACAATTTTATTGTGAATGTTTATTCTCCTAGATGTTTTATTAACTCAAATGTGTGTAACTTCTGTCAGTGTATCACTTGGTTATTAAATTTTGTGTTGTTAAAACATAAGTTTTCTCCGTTGAAACTTTGTATTGCTAAAATTTATCTACTTCTAATAATTTGTAATTTTCTTATCATTAGCAAGATGAATTCAAATAATAGAAGCAACTTGCGTGGCACAGCAACATTTCCCCGTCATGGAAGCTCTCACCAAGGAAGACTTGGACATAATTCTCGTTGGCATGTAAATCATGTTCCTTTCTCTAAGGAATACCAGCAAGGTTATAATCAAGGGTAACTATTACATATTTTCAAGCTATTTAAGGTTATTTTTTAATAGTTATTTTGGCTGAGATTATGCTTAGTTTGCTCTGTATGAATCAGTAGAATAAATAAAACCTACTTTGGTGTTTTAGTTGTGCAAGTAAACATAAATTTTTTGCTCTTAAATGTTCTGTTTAAATATTTTTATGTTATTGTATTTGTTCATGTTGATTACATTTTACCAATGTTTTTAAGACATGTTTTAGTTGGTTTAAATATTAATTAAATTATGTATTCTCTCATTTGTTTAACATAAGTTCATGAAGCACATTTCTTTAACATTTTTGATGTTTCTGTTGTATTTCTTCGAGAATGTTTTGTTTCTTTAGTTTCAGTAGGTAGTGATATAATTTACTCTATTTGATTAGTTAATTCGACAAATTACTAAAGTTATCAACTTTAACAAACATTTACCCATACATTTATTAAACTGTTTTGATGTCATTACTTTAGAATAAATATCTACACTGAAAGGTACAAGAGATTATTGAATAAGAAGAAGACTTAAAAATAACTTTAGCATCAAAGTATTTATTGTATATAGCAATTAGAATAATAGGTTTGTTTCATTATAATTTATTAAAATTACAGTATACTGTTAAATTATAAAATGAACAGTTGGTATTTTACTTTCTTTTACCTATATATGCAATATAAAGTATGAGAAAGTATTGCAATCGTTAAAATTTTTGAATCTGAGTTTTCAAAAGAAATACACATTTCGATGTCCCCTGAGCACAAACCAAGTCCTATAAAATGTTCTCTGTGTGTGTTTGTGAGCTCTAGCTCATAAATGAAAAGTCGAACAAAGCTGAAATTACTTATTTATAGTTGGTTACTTAAGTGTATGGTGGGTACATACATGGCTGTGATGTGATAGCAATTTTTGCCTTAAAATCAGTTAACCGGAAGTGCCACTTTATATCAGCGATTTTACACTTTTCTCGAAAAAGGCTCTTAACTATTTTGATTTAGCTCGGTGTATCAATTTTGAATTAAATGGTTTATAATATCAGCTAGATTCTTATCCTCATTGATGTCACCTTACAGGGCTCAATTTTTCAATATTCAAAATTTCTTTCTCTACAGTACACTTGGTTTTAAATTTACACTCTCACATTTATGTTGTGTGTGAATACATACTCACATATAGTATTTCATATATAGTATAACTTTAATGTAATTCAGTGACAATAATATGAAGTTTAAAAATTATTATATTAGTGTCTCTCTTGATAACATGTTTTGCTGTTAGTGTAGTGTAAATTTTGCATATCTTTTTCAAATGTGTTCTGCAGTTCATTGTGAATAGATAACAGAACTTTTAGTCTGTTATGTTAACAGATGAAATAATCCTCACCAACATTATTAGTTATGTTTTAGTTTTAAAAAAATGAAGTAAATTTAAATTATCATTTGATTTGATATTTATGTTTAACTCTTTTATTTAACATAATTTCAATATTATATGTTAATTTTTATCATTTATAATTTGTTATATTTATATGTTAAATAATTAACCGTCTCTCACTGTTTGTAGTAATATAAAAAGGCCCAATATAAACTATGAAATCATTTGTTAATTGATAAACATGTTAGCTGCGGTTACTGTCTCTGAGGTTTGATATTCGTCTCGACTACCAAACGGCTGGGGTTGTTTCGAATTTTGTCTATCTTATGAAGTCTCTAAAATGGTAATTTTAAAAAATATTTGAATGATAGTTAAATAGATGTAAAGATACAAACGTAAATAATCATAATATCTGATAAAAAGTTTTTGGACTCTAGGGACCGATACCATACCAGACTGATAAAAAATGATTTCTCTACGGTGAAAATGACACCTCCTTCCCCCCTCCCGGTGTCCAATACATATTCCTGCCGTGATCGGACAATTCATGTGCATGGTCTTGTCTTGAAGAATGCATGGTTCTTCAGGCTTCTGTCGAGCAATAGCTTTTGAGAGTTCATCTTAGACTGTTGCCCTTGCTTATCTAACATGTCTCGTAGTCAGAAATTGGTTGCTGTGGCATTATCTTGCCAAGAAGAAGAGGTGTTAGTGAGTGTGATTTTTAAGAGATATTTTTAAGAGAAAAGACATTTAAGAGATATACTCAGCAGCTAACGTGTTAAAGGAGAAAAAAGTAAAGAAAAATGTATTTTTATATTGAAAATGAATTTCCGGAAATAGTAGAATTCATATGTATAATATATCGTTGGAAAGTTGAGAATTTTAGAAAAATTATATGTGACATACAAAGTTGTAGAAGTTATTGAAGAGTAACGACCAAATTATAAATGGTACTTTCTGAAAACTATTATTATTTAATGGAAACTAAACAAAACATTTTTTAATTATTTTTAAGCTTGATAAAAAAAAGTATAATCCGATAGAATAGAGCCAATGAAATTGTTTAAAAAGAAACTAAATATAAAAATATTCTATGGATGAGTGAAACATATATTTATAATCTTAAATACATTGACTGTAGTTTAATAACTTTAGGTACAATAATATCATCGGCTCTACGTTGAAGTAATCAATATGAAAAATCACATTAGTACTCCAAGACCCACTTTATGGCAAAATGTCAATTCTGAACAGTGATCGGAATTAGTAATGTTATTTTTACGAATTTATAGTTTTATTTGAAACGTGCATGTATCTAACAAATAGGTATTGAGCGAGTACAATAGTTGATTATTACAGAGATCTCCAAACTTTTTGGCCCTCAGGCCACATTAAGACCTTCATTAGGTGCCATGGACCATGGCGTGTGATGGAAAAAATATCTTGTTCTATGACTGACACTTCATCTGTGAAATAAGCTTTCTATAAGAAACAACTCGTTCAATAAATATTATTGTAAGCTCATGTTAGTGCGATTTACTGAATTTCTTATTTTTTAAGTAGTTTTAAAGTGTTACCATGTAAACACAGAAACTATCATGGACCCCTGGTTTGGAGTTCCTGGATTATATTTTCAGGAATTGCTGTGTGTTATTGCTGAACTAATAAACCAGAAGGAATTTTTTCAATGGGACAAGCTGACCACTTATAAAGTAAATTGTTTCTTTCAAATTTGTTGTAAGGTTTAAAGCTTCACCTATTGTTTGTATGGACTATATTCTATATTTAGACTATATAGACTTTATTGATTATATTATATTTGATATACAAATTAATTTGTTTCACTGATGTTGCTTATGTGTCAAATTGGGGGAGAAAAATATGAATATAATGTAAAATTCTCACTGAGTTAACTAGTAAATAAATGCAATTGTAATGTACTTATATTGTTTTAAATAAACGGGTCTGTAAGTGTGTGTTTATACATACCTATATATATACATATCATTTTATATTAACTGTGTTTCTTCATAGTAACAAATGTTAGGCCATTTAGGGAACAAATATTGGTAACATAATTATTTTATGCCTATTTATGTTATCCAAAATTATAATGGTGGAAATGCTAAGTTGTAATTTATTATTCATTCATGAATGCAGTATATTTAGTGGGGGGAGAAAATAATTTAAAGAAACAAATATATGTATAAACTGTGACATAGAATAAACAACCATAGCAAAAAAATTTAATCACAATGGTTGCCTTTGTTTAGTTGGTTAGTTTATCAAAGCTTATTCCTCTATGGAATTCGAGTAAGATCTTATTGTCCGAATGCCATTTACCTTATTAAATACCTCAATTTTCTCCAAATTTACAATACTGATCAAATTTTGTTTAACAGTAAGTGGTGATGTACGTCAGTTAATTATAGAGTTCATTAAATTTTTTTAAATTCTCTAAGTCATTTATGGTGGTTTAAGTTCCTATTTTACTATTTTAATTTCTTTGACTAGTTGTTTGATTATTTATATTTTATAAATCTTTTGTTACAGTAATTATTTTTATCAGTGTAAATATCTGTGGCACCTGTGGAAAGTGAGTTAAGTGCAATTTTTATTGGTATTACTAGAAAGCTAATTTTCTCTCTTTCTGTCTAATGGGCTAAGTTATGCAACTATTACAGAGATGAGCATTCCTTTGTGAATCGTGGGGTGAATCTCGAAAATTGAACTTGCATCTGTGAAAATACCAAACTTTTAATTGCGTTTTTCAATTAGTACAATTTTTGCACTTTACACAATATGTATAAGTGCCACATATATGTGTTTAATTTATTTATATAGTATAATTTCTAAGTACTTCTAATTTTATGTGTGATATTATCTATTTTTACATTTAGTGACATTGTTTTCATTTATTTATTTTCAAAAATGTTTACCCCTTCCAATATTGCTGCAATTTTAGGGTGTCTACTAGTCCTTTATAAGTCAGGAAACTTTAGAAAAAATCTAAATGAAGGGAATTTTAAGAGCTAGGTAATGTGAGCACAAATTTTCTGTTATGACTCATAATCATTAATTGTGACAAAATGTTTTCATAGTAGTGATATGTACACAAATATGCTGCATTAAATATATTATGTGTTCTCTGATTTTTTGTGATGAAAAATATTAAATATTCAAGGTGATGGTCTGAGTCAATCTGAAAAAAAAAAAAACATGAAATAGTTGTTAATTATTTATTTACTGCTGATATTTCATTCTTTTAGGTTTTCATCAAGAGAATCTTACTTTACTTATCACTCTACTTTTAACAAATTATTGTCCGACAATATTGAAGTACAAAAAGTTTTTGAAATGCATTTTTAATTGAGTTAAACCTTAAAGAACTAATTTTTATATTTCAGTCATATTTATTTTTGCTAACAATTGTTAAGACCATCATAATAGCGCAAACACTATTTTTATATTGACGGTAGGTGATAAAAACCTTGTAACTACATGTGTCTGTTTGAACTACGTAACTCCAGTTTCTGAGCTCTGTATACTAAGAGAAATTTGGAAGTACACATATTTAATCTATGAATAAGAAAGTATTGTATTACATAGAGAAAATTATAGGAATTAAGTCTTTATCATTTTTTACGTGTAAACTGTTCTTTTTTTTCCTTGTAAAATTTACTAAAATACAGATACAAGCTTTTAAATATATCAACGATAAGTCAAAAGTCATCAAATTATTCATTAATTTAATTTTCTGAAATACCACTTAATGATTTTTTGCCATAAACCAATGGAATATACCTAATTGTTTAAATTTATTATCGGATCTAAAGTTATTAAACTTCAGTAAATGTATTTAATGTTATAAACATTTGTTTTACTCGACCATGAAATATTTTTATATTCCATTTCTTTTTTATCACAAGTACACTATAATAGTTTTTCAACAATTTCAATGCCTCGAACATGTTCGATATCCTCATACAGGAGCTATCATCATATTTTTACTAAGCTCAGTAGGTAATTGCATAGCACTTCTAATGTCCTGTCATGTATCTTGGATTTTTTAAAATTTTATTTATTTTGATATAATTTGAATTCCTAGGATTCCACAATATAGGATATTGTTGTAGTAATTAATTATTACTAATAATTACCTTTTCCTGTTCCTTTACTCTTTTTGATTTTCATTCTCCCTCTCTCTCTCTCTCTCTCTCTCTCTCTCTCTCTCTCTGAAATCCTGAAATCATTTTATTCTTGCGAATTTCAGATTGTAATTGTATGGCACTTCCGATTTGTTTGTGAACACCTTTTAAATTTTTATTTTTATAATTGGAATGTCTCTGATTCGCCAAAATGAATATTTTGTATAATAAAATGTTATAGAGATCAATTAGCGAAAGACATTTTTCGTCTGTCCACTCCATTGCACAATGTCCGGCTTAAAGACAGTGTTCACTGCAATATTACTGACAAGTTTTCACAACTGTAGTCCGTTCACGAACTTTCTCCACTCCCCTTTGAGTGGAGCAAAGCAAAAATCAACAGCCATGCTAAATGTTCGGAGCGCAGAACATACCTACTTGACAGGAGCGCAAAGCGCCGTAGGTTCGCAAAAAATAGAGGATACTCAGCTTAATAACGATTCTAGATTAGATGAAACACTGAAGATGGAGGAGAACTCCGTAACAGTGGCTTGATAATATTATAAAACATTATAATATAAGTGTTTTTCACACAATTTTTATGTGTATATATTTTTTTTTATTTATAAGATCATAACTCATCATAATTTTGTTTTTCATTCATTTTAGGAATTCTGAAAGAGATAAAGATTTGTTCGGGTACCCTAAACCTAATGGTATCCCCAATCAAACTTTTCCTATGGAGGCAACTAATGCTGATGTTCGTCAACTGCCTCCTCCAATGATAATTCCTTCAAGAACTCAGGTACATTTCATCAATGTAAAATTTATTTTTAAAGTGAATTTTTAAAATTAAAGTTTCTTAAATTAAAACGAAAATTTATTGTGAGTTTGGCAATGAAAACTTCCATTATTATATGTCAATGTTATGATGAAAAGAAAATGTTGCATTTATACTGACATCAGAATCAGAAAAATTAAAAAATCGATCAATTAGAACTCAATTCTAGCTTGAAGTTAAGAATAGGTTTAAGGACTGTGATAATAATATACAAGTTATGGATACGGATGAGGGATAATATTAAAGAAGTCAGTAACTTATGTCTTGGAAAAAAGGAAATTAAAAATAACAAACCGTGGTTTGATGAACATTGCTTAAACATGTGCTAAAAAAGAAAAGCCGCTAAAATAAATTCTCTAAATAATCCTAGCGGAAACAATCTTGAATATTTTCGAGCCTTAAGAATGAAACTACTAAATTGTTCAAAAATAAAAAAAGGGTGTGTCTTGAAAATAAAATAATAGAATTGAAACCAATGTAAGAGACATGCACAAAGGTATAAATAAGTCACTTAAATGTTTAGGACATGTAACGATGAATTAAGTATGTAAATAATAATATCCTCACTGACCGTGTAGACATATTGAGTAAGTTTAAGAAACACTTTGATAATATTATAAATATGAGAAATAATGATCTGTGTGTCCTCCTTCTGAGCACCAGAGTGCCAAACTGTTAATAGAAGAACCAAGTAAACAGGAAGTTGAAATAGGTATCGGAAAATTAAAATCTTATAAAGCAGCGGGGACCAATAATATTCCTAGTGAACTAATTAAGCCATGCGGGGAAGCTGGTGTTTATAAAATACATGTTTTGGTTAAAAATAAATGGGAGACTGAGAAATTGCCTGAATAATGGAAAGAATCCATTCTTATTCCGATTCAAAAAAGGGACCCGAGAACAGAATGTAATAGCTATCAAGGAATTTCACTCCTTCTGGTATGTTATAAAATCTTCACATTAACCGTATCTAATCGAATCATGGAATACACCGAGGAAATAATCAGAGACTACCTACCAATGTGGATTTCGACGGAACCGTTCGACTATTGATCAAATATTTTCTTTATGACAAATATTAGAGAAAAAATTAAAGTACAGTGGTGTTGTTCACTTTATATCGATTTAAAAAAGGCTTATGATTCCATTGATTACCTGAAGCTGTATAATATTCTAATTGAGCAGGGGATTCCAAAAAAAATTAGTGAATTTAGTTAAGATGTGCTTGACAGAAACATTCAATAAAGTTAGAATCGGTTATTATTTATCCGAGAAATTTGAGGTTCGTTCTGGCTTAAAAAACGGTGATTCTCATTCCAACTACTGAAATGCTACAGTAGTTTTTTTATATAGAATTTGTGATATAGTGGTTTAATATAAAGAAAACATGAAATTATTATTTTCTGGATAACCCAATATATAAGTGATCAATAATGACAAATTGTAAGAAGTGTTCATATTATTTGTTTATATAATGATTTTTCTTTATAGGTTCCAGAGAGCTCTGTACAGTTACTTAATGGTCCAATGCTCAATTTAAATCCTGGATTATTAACTCCTATAGAGAATACTGAGTACCCACAACGTTCTAATTCTCTGATGCCTGGTAAAATACTATTTTACATTCTTTAGTATATGATTTTTCTTGTGTTTAAAATAAAATAGTATTTTTTAAAAAATGAAATAATGTATGTGATGGAATACATGACATTAAATAATGAGGGTGTAGAACTGATTCCAGGAGGTGTTCTAAAAATAATTAAACATTGCCATAATTCCAGTTCCATAATTGAAATAGACGTGTGATAGATATGTGATGTGGAAATAAAAAGAAAAATTTCAGATGGCAAAAAGACCGTATCAATGCTTAATTCGGTATTATGGAGCCGGAACATTATTCCCAAAACAAAAAAAAAATCTACAATAGTATAGTACTGAGGATTATGATATATGGGTCAGAAACTTGGACCATAAAAAGCAATCCAGGAAGAAACTTCTAGCCACTGAAATGGACTACTGGAGATGCGTGGCAGGAATATCCACATGTGGATAAAATCAGAAAAACGACCATCAGAGAAAAGATGGTGGTTAAAGGAACCATTCAGGAAGAGATTGAGATAAAATGCCTGAAGTGGTATGGATATTTGAAAAAAACGTCTGAAGGAAGACTACCTAAAGAAGTCCACTTATGGAAAATTAAGGAAAGAAGAAGACGAGGAAACCTGGGATAACGAAGTGGAGGAATCTATGATGGGTCATGGTCTACGGGAAGAATAGACCTTAGATAGGATATTATGGAAAGAAGCCATCCAAGGTTTAGGTTAAGGAAACCCACTATTAGTGGAAACTCCTAATGAAAAAAAAAAAATGTATCTGAATACAGCAAAATTCTTCTAATGCAGCTTTGTTCGAGGCCTGAGTCAAACTGTTTACAGGGTCCAGCATACAGGAATTTCCTGAAAACCAGGAAATTGTACGGTGAGGGAGGGGGGGGGGGGAGGATTTCACAATAATTCTATGAAGAAAATTATTTTTTTTTTACTGTGCTCCTTTTTTGAATTTATCAAATAATTATTTTCTATAATTATATATTTTTGGGAGCTATTCATTCATTTTATTTAGATAATTACTCCCTCAATATAATATTATTTATGATTCTTTATCATGACAGTAAAACATGCAAGTTATATGAAGTAGTATACTCTTCTGTCTCATTATGATATGAGACCATATATTTATAGCTATAGAATTTTCATGCACTACTTTAAGGGTAGGTTTAAATCCTTTGCTTTAATTTTTCATGGAGAATTTTATCTAGTAAAATACCTGAATTGACTCAATTGAAATTGAATCGTGAGAATAATGATTAATGACTATTTACCTACATTAATTTAAAAGTAACCTGAAACTAATAGTGTATCAATTGAGTAACTAACGATTATTACTAACAGCCATTAGGTGTTAGTACTAAATTTAGCAGAAAAAGGACTGTAGGGTTTGTAAAGTTCTCACCACCCAAAGTTTTAAAAATATATTTAACACTACTTGTAAGCTCAATTTTATTTATTTTTTTCAACCAAACTTAGCACTTTGCTGTTAATAATAATTGTTTGAACTTACCCCCAAAAAACTATAAAATATTTACCCAAATTTGTTATTTATTGAAATTTTTCACAGTTTGAAGAGTGAAGTTTTTTCTTAGAAATCGACAATTTTTTTAAAAACTCTGTTGGCCTCTCAATATAGTTTTATCGATAATTTGATAATTATTAAGACATTTTGGATTTAGTAGCAAAACATAAAAGTTCTCTCAACTCAAAGTTTCAAACTTTAGCAGTATAGTTAAAACTGTTAGTGATGTTAATAATTCTTAAAAATACACCCAAAAACTGTTAAAATACGTTCACTCTAAATTTTGACCAAAATTATCTAAGTCTGAAGGAGTGAAAAATTATTCTGGAAATCGGTAATTCTTTTTAGATTTTTGTTGTTATAGCCTTCCCATAAGTTCTTCCGTTTATTATTAACAACCCTAGCATTAGAATTCTTTACGAAATTGTCTATTTCTGAAAAAATGATTTACACCTTTGGCCATTGAAAATTTTTGGTATAAATTTAGACTTTTTTTATATTTACGGTTTTAGCTATTTCATTGATAGTTCAGATGTCCTTAGATTAATTTGTAATATTCAGATAGATAAACCATATTTCTATTTCTCCTTAAACTTAATTTTTTTTTTGTGTGGGTGGTTTAAGTGATTAACTACAATACTTCTAGGAAATAAATTCTTAGGAGGACCATGAGAATTCTATTTATTAAATTTTTTTTTTTCAAAATATTGGCAATTTTAGGAGCCATATTTACAGAGTTGAAATATATTCAATCAAAGTTTCTTTGGTGTTCTGATAGCCTCTCTAAGAGTTCTAATGGTTACCCCAATTAACCATAGCTCTCTAAACAAATAAAAGTATGCAATATCAATCAGTTTGTATTTTCACTCATGGGTTAATCCATTTGAAATCTAATCAGACCATGTTGCTCGGTATTTTTGATTTTTATAATATTGTTACTAGTTAAACCTTATTCAATGGATAGTTCAAAACCATAATTAAAAAAGTTTTAAGGCTTTAATTTTTCCTTGTTGGCTATTTTGAATTTCTTTTCGAATGAAAAGATGTTTAGGAAAAATGTCTCTAACTCGGGTAATTTTGTAGCTATCAAAACAATAGTTGTAATCAGTTTAACAAGACAGTTTATTATTGCTATTCCTCTGTAATTAGTGGGGTCTTTAGCATCACCTTTTTTATATAAATGGAGTAGGAGAATTTCACCCCATTTTTCCGGAACAATTGTATTTTGAAAAACGTTAAAAATGTTAAGTAGGTAGTGGTCCCAATTCGGAGGCATAAGTTTATAAACTTCATACGGCAATTGATCGATGCCAGATGCTTTTTTCAATTTGGTTTTTCTAATTGCTTTCTGAAGTTTATCCAAATTTATAGGATTATCTAATTCTATTTTCGAGTTGGTGGGTAAAGTGTGATAATAAAAAGACTCACCTTTCATTTTTTTATAGCTCTATTAGTGCACTTCATCTTGAAGAAATTTCAATCTTAAAAATTTTGTGCTTTTTGATGATTAAATTTCAAAAACTGCCAAAAATAGTTTTTTAGAATTTTTGATGTTGAATATCACAAAAGGGACTGAGTGAATAATTTCAAGATTGATTCTGTTATTCTGTTTATACCTCCTTATGATAGAAAAGTGTGATTACAATTTTATTACTGAGACTCAACTGGTTTTATTACTTGTAGAGAAACAAATATTGTTGCCTAGTGAGTAGTGGTTGGCTAAGCTAAAATTATAATAATGTTTTGCTCAAATTTTTTGTTCTCACGTACCCTTTTTTGAGGACATAAATATGTCCTGTACATATGATAGCATAAATAAATGTAACTGATTAATATTAAAAGCTTGTTCTTCTATTTTAAGAAAGATAGGAATCACATCTCTGATGTGAGCTCAAGATGATAAATGTAACAATCGCTATTCTTGTTGGCAGAAAAAGTTCAATATATAATTTAATTCAAAAAAGCAAATTCGTTAATAAAAAATAATGTATTATTTGTAGAAATGAGACATACACCAGTGCAACAGCACAGCTCTTCTACATTCTATAGACCAAATGCACAAGAAGATAGCAGAAAGGTAAATAAGTTTTTAAAAATTCATATTCAAAATAACTTCCATTTTGTCTTAATATCTCTTAATTTTTTTTTAATTTTTTTTTTTATTGTAGGATATATGTGCACAGAGTGAAAGCCCAAGTAGAAAAAGACGTAGGATTGTACAAACCTCACAAACTCAGAATGGAATTCCTCTTCCTGCCCATCATCAGAGTCCGTGGGAGCCTCAACGAAATCATCAGAGACCACTTCCTCGTAACAGGTTTTATTAAATTTATTAGTCTCTTTACTGTTACAAATAGATTTGCTGGTTATTTTTTATTGAAACATTTATTCTGTATTTGGTAAAATATGTTTTCTTTATTAAAAACTCTGAATTAGACGTACATATATATTTCTGTTATCCAAAACGGAGGATCCACAACTCGAAATTTTAAATGTCAGAAATTGTAATAATTGGACCACCTATTGTCTCAAACAACAGTCTGCTCTCAAAATAAGGCCCTCCTTATGAACACAATAGGTGGTCTATTAGAAATTTGTGTTGAAGGAAACACCCTGGGGACGTCAATGTTAAAATTATCCCTGTTTAAAATTGCATATACACCAGGCAAATCTTGTTCAATGAATGAAATGGAATGCATGGGATGAAATGTGGATATTTGTACTAAAATAAGTTTGTACTGTACTTGGTTCACTTTCAGCTTTTATTGAAAATTAACAGTAAAATAGATTGTGTTAAAAATGATATTTGGACGTTTTGATGTTCTGAATATGCCATATATAAGATCATTTTGAATTCATATGATCAATATTTAAACATGGGTTGTTGATCTACCCTGTTTTATTGAACAAGGCTTGTCATTCTACTGTTGCCATCTCTCTGTCCAGAAATTGTAATGATTATGCTATGCTCTGTAACCGTATTTGAAATGTTAGCTTTGTTTAAACGATTCTAATGTATTTTTTTTACAGTGTGCCAATAAGGAGAAGTACCCGTTACTCTCGGGAATGGACCCAGGAAAATCATACCTTACCTCGAATGCAGCATCCGCCAACATTTACTCCAGCTCATCCTAGCACATCGCACCATCAGCCACCTATGATGATGGATTTGACCCAGGTTGTCAATCCAAGTGTTTCTGTAGGTGTAAATATTTATTTCATCAAGTTTTTACTTCAAGTGATTCTTAAAATAATTGTTTTTCAGTGCTTTTATTTATATTTTTTATGATAGTATTTTGATATATTTCATTACTAATGATTAACAATTATGTGTTTCTATAGGTACCTGTGTCCTTGCCATTACCTCTTTACTCAAGTGGACCAACTGCACCTCATATACCACCGTGTCAAGTGCATAGCATTTATTGTACAACTTCTCCTCAGCACACTTGTCAGGTACTGAGAAAGTTTATTCTGTGGTAGTTAACCAAATACTTGTTTTAGGTTTTTAATTTTAACAATTGCACTTGGGAACTCAATATTTTTTTAATTACCATAAGGTAGGATACCTGTGTGCCATGTGATACTGTTTTTAAATTGGACCTTGATACATCAGTCTAGAAAACCAGTCATCGACGCCACCATTCACACTTGAGGTAGACATTAGCTGGTTCTGCCCACTGTAGTGGTTGGCAGTTGGCTACTTTTTTGAGGATATTGAATAGAAGGGTCTGAATATTATTCCTCTTGTATGTTTTTTTATTTAAAACAAATTTATCACATTCAACATTCCTGGATTTTACTTCATTATCATGAACTCACCATTATATTCTCAGTTTTTCCCTATCTCAGTGAAATTATTTTTACTCTGTTTTGCTCCTAATTTTTCATTATTATGTCTATATAATATTATTTAATTAGATTAAAAGTCAATTTAACTATGAAAATATCAGTGCCCAACTTCTAACAGAATAGTTTTTTAAAAATCATAATTGCCGATATCGGTTTTTGAGATATCAGTATTGGCAAAAATTCCTATATGGGTTGATCCGTAGGTGATTGATTGAGACGTGCATTCACCAATGGAGGGATATTCCAAGTGAAACTGTAAGAATCCTAATAAAAAGCCAAAAAAGCCATTATATTGGTCTGTTATATGGGTCAATATTTCAGAAGAATATTCCAGGTAAATCTAAGAAACTTGATGGTAGAAATAGAAAGGTCTATATATGATTCTTTGAAATATCACTATAAGCTAATATATCGATATCAATCGATCCCTAGTTTGTACCTTACTTGATCAAGGATTTTATAATTTTTTTTTTTGTAACTTTCCTTTGTTTTTATTCAAATTTATAAATCACGACAAAGACACATGATAAGAGACTCATGATATTCATTTCAACTAATTGTAATCAATAACAAGTTTAAACAGTTAAAAAATTAAACAGAATAAAAGATTTAGCATTGATCATGCAAAGGCGCTTTTTATAAAAGACATGATTCCTCATGTGATCCTCCCTGTTTTGTCGAAGGTCTTTCGGCCAATTGGAAATAAAACATATTTTTTTTAAAAACTTATCTTCATATTTGTTTTGAAAGGCAGTAAATAAAAACATAATATATATGGACTTTTTTTTTTGTTGTTTTTTCGGTTGCCGCTATAGACTATTAAGTTCTTTGAGCACGAGGTGTAAGTACACAGGGGGGTCATCAGTCAGTGTGAGTTGCCTCCAATAGACTGCCGGGCCTCGTATATCCGGGGAGGGGAAGGAATCTCGGACAGTGTGGTTAGGGCATGCATATATTGGATATCTAGATACCCAATAACACATCAGTGTTTTAAAAATACACTTTTTGGATCCTCAAATTAAGAAATTTTCAGCCATAAATACTATAAGTTTAAATTTTTAATCCTTCATTAATGAAACCGTGAATATAGAAGTTTGATTATATTGCTAATAAGTTTATCTAGTAAAGGATTTCATCTATTTTTTTTAACATGGGCTTGACTAACTAGAGGGTGCTAGACAATCTAATATTTAACAATAATCGATCATTAGTTTGCTTAATGATTGACATTATCGAATTCAATGGTCCTCCATGAAGATAGAAGAGATGTGCACAGCGTATTATGGGTTCCTAGCTTTTATTCTCGTAAAGGGGACTGTAGGTGAGGGTATCTGGTGAATTTCTGTCCAAATAATTATTTATCATAAGAAATATCAAATTCTAAAAATTCTTTTAAGAATATTCGAAATGTACTCTTCTTTGAATAAATAGTTATTTTTGATTTAAGGTTGATTTTTTGCTTATAAGATTTATTGAAATATACAATTTATCTTATTTTCAGTAATTCTTATTAAAATCAGATTCATAGTAATTGTAATTTTATATTTCTTGAGTTTTTTCCAGCATTATATATTTCTCAAATTCTATATTAAATAGAGCTTTAATTATAGTTTTTGTGCACTTAAGTCAGTGTTATTTTTACTTACCATTGCTTTTCTTAATTTTTTTAGCTGAATAACTTTGGAAACTGTATGAATCATCATACACCAAACCATCATCATCATCACCATCATACCAGCTCTGTTTTGTTCCCATCATTAGCTCATGTTCACTATTCAGCGCATATTACACCACGCCACGAGCCTATCGAAATTGATATAATTATGGATCATCATCATAGACCGCCAACTCATCAGGCTACCATTTTACAAGTACCTACTCCATCCAGCATTTTTATTTCAGAGGTAATAATTTGTATTTGTTATTCTATTAGACCTATACATATTTTTTCTTAAACTGATTCTTTAAACTTATAATAATGTATTATCTTGTACCAATACCAATATAAATATATATATGTATATATATTATTTATCACGATACAGGCCATCGATGGACCACACGTATATTATTTCTAGATATTTTTCTTTTTCTTTTCTGCCTATATTCTCTTCATTTTCTCTCCCATCTCCCTCCTTCTTTCTTCTGTCCATTTTTTATTTTCTTGTTTCTTATCTGATTCAAGAACCTTTATGTTTTTCACTATTTTCCTGAATTTATCCCTATCTTGGTTTTCCTCCTCTGTGACACCCATTCTTTTCATTTCTTCTCTTATTTGTTCCGTATAACCATTTATGTTCTTTAGTCCCATCACTTCATCAAATAATTGTTTGTTTAGTCTATTCCGATCCATTCTCTTCATATGGCCGAATGGAAAGTAGACTAATTGAAATGTTTTTGTATTTGAATTAAAATATCTCAGAAATTAAAAATCGGTCCTGCATACTGCATGGAAGGGAAATTGTCAGCATTTCATCCTCTTTGTAATGAGCTATTATTCAAAATTGTATCTTAACACGACGCTGTGTTAGAGAGGCTATAATGGAAAAATATAATGTTAAAAACCAAATGATTGATGAGTCCTGTTGAACATTTGGATTCAAATATCTCGGAGATTATAAATAGCTTACGCAGAGAGTAAGTTAAATAGCTTAAAAGCAATACAAATATCTATCTATCCAAAATATCTCAAAAATTAAAATTCGGACCTGCATAATGTAAGTAAGGAAATTTTCAGCATTTCATCCTCTATGTAATGAGCTATGATCTAATCAAAATTTGATGTGATGCCGAGTTAATGAGTTGAAAAGGGAAAAACACATGTAATAATGACTGTTTTGAACTTTTGGACTGAAATCTCAAAATTTAAATACCTTGCAGAATTTAGAAAGCAATTTGTGGAGGTCAATATAGATATATTGATTAATTAGCCATAAAAATAAGAAAATATGTGTTACTATTCAACTTTCTGTTGCACTCGATAGTATTTTGACAAATTACTGATTCCCGTTACAGAAGTAATATAAAAAAAAAATGACAGGTTTTGTTAGCTATTTAGGAAATAGATTTCAATCAAAAGTATTCATCACATATTTTAGTGATCATAAACCTATTATATCATTTTTAAAGTATAATTCATATATAGTTATAAGTGTATATATTGTAAATGTTATTACTTTGTGAATACAATAGAAAAAAAAATTATATTTCATACTGTTAATCTTGCCTTGTTGATGTTTTCACTTCTATTGTGTGGTCTAAAGCATACGTATTTTTTTTTTTTTAAATCATGTTATTTTACTTTAATACCATTGATATATCATGCTGTTGTACTCCTATCTTCAGTTAGCAGCTAATAAATTTTTTGAATGTGACAATTGAGAAATTCCTCTTATCATAGGCATATAATTTTAGTTTTAATTTATGACATTAATTATACTGATAATTAACATTTCAGGTTCCTCGAAGGACTAGTGCTCGAAGATGGAATCGTCCATTTCCTCCAGCCCCATCTCCGTTTCCAGGATGGCTTCATATTTTGTTAGTACCTATCAATTCTACTCTTATTTGTTTTTATAGTCAAATCATCATTGTTTCAATAATGAGAGAGAGGAGTAGGTTGTCCAGTGTACGGGAAATTACCCAGAAACCAGGAATTGTACACAAATTTCTCATTAAATAATAGGATTTTCTTTAAATAATATTTTTTTGGATATAGTTTGATAAACTTTGGTTACTCTAAAGCTTAAGGCAGGGATTATAATTGACGTTATGTTGAATTCACCATTTGGTGAATAGTGCATATTCTGCGCTCTCATCGACCAACGTAAAGTTCTTAACTTATATCATTGACAAAAGTAAAATTTCTAACTCTTTCTCGTGATTATCGATAAAATATTGATAGGTCTTCAAAATCGATGGTTTCCCATCATACCTAGTATAAATGAACATGAATATTCATGAAGATCCTAGGGGCAAATTTTTTTTGTAACTAAGTGGTAAAAATTGGAATAACTGCGTAGTGTCTTATCATTTGGGAATTCACAGTTAATTGTGATTAAGTAAGAAAAGTCATTATAATTTCTTAACTTGAATATCTTGCTCCAATTTTCAGAAAATGTGGTATCCCAAAAAGCTATCACTAATTTTGACTATTTATATTTAATTCTAATTTTAGTTGTTTACATTTAAATTTTAAAGATTAATAAAATTCAAATAAATTAACAGTTAATGGTTTCAGAAGTAATTAGTCTGTAATTCATTAGCAGTTTCGGTAATTTGTACCTCTTCCCTTTATTGTTATTGAGCCTTGTTAGGTTCAGGAATTTCCTCAAAGACTGTTTAGGTACCTTTTCCTTTTCTACTGAGTTTTAAAAATATATGTAAACTTGCCGATAAAAGTTTGTAAATTAAATCTTTAGGAACATAAATTACTGTTTCACTTATTATTACATGTTTCAGAGAGATTAAATGTAATTAAAAACAGCTTGTTAAGAATAAGATTAGTGATGAGAAACGTGTTCATTACAAATTTTATATTTAAATCGAGGGATGAAACAAAATTAAAGATTATATAAAACCAAAATGGAAGAAAGATGACCTAAAAGTTGCTTAAAATTAACTGGTACAAACTTTATTGTTGTTTATGAACAAAGTAGGGATATTTCCGTGGCACTCCCTAAAGTTTGATCTGTAAACAGTGTAGTTATAGTTAGTTAGCTATAGACAATACCATGTCTATCTTCTCAATACTATTTGGTACCAGTGTGACGCAGCTTGGAGAACTACAGCAGGATCCTGTCCTGTGTACCTCCCCTTTAGATCTCAGCATCTAAATGTTCAAAAGTTTATACATAGCTGAGTCTTAATGCTTAACTGAATTGATATTTTACAGAGTGATAAATTAGTTATTTCATTAATTAACTAGGTAAACTATTACTTTGAGGACTGGATGGATGAGCATGTTGGGGCATGGGTCTGCATTTTTAGGCTCTGAAATGAACTTTGTTTGAGAAAACTCAGTCCTAATCATATAAAAATTAAAATATTCTATTTATCGCTGCCTATCATTATATATTATTTTTTAAAGCTGTTGGCCGTCATACCCGATATTTGTTTATTCTTCACGAAATCCAATGATTAAGCCATTATTCTAAAGATTGTCTTCTCTATCAGGTACAAAAAAAAAAAAAAAAAGTGCCTACTCCAGAAAAAAGATGATAAAGAAAAGGAAGCATCTGCATTACTAAAAAAAGTATACAATTTATAGTCAACTAAACCCATAATGATTTGAATTTAATGCTTTCTTGATTCCCTACCAAATGAAAAAAAAAAAAAAAAATCAACAAAATAAGATCATATTTAGCAAAGATACGTAATTTTTACATATTTTATTAGTCCAATGGTTTCAATTATAATTAATTTCTTGCTGAAATAAATAAATTTCATTTATTTTCTGACTAATATATGTAGTGAAATATTGGCATAGGTCAACTAGTTAGCCCTCATTGAGCAGGAATTAATTGCTACTCAAAGTAGGGTTGTAAGAGAAAGTTTTTTGATGTGTGTATTGCATTAAATTTTTTTTTTTTATGTTTTACTTCGATCTTTAACTTTTTAAGAAAGCTTTTGATATTTTTTAAAAATTGTCTTTATAAAATTATTTCAAAGCTTGTTATGATTAAATTAATTCATCTTTTACAGGGCAATGTTTTCTAATCCTCCTTTGTCTCCATACAGTCAGGAAGTGGGCGAGACTCATCACCCTCCTGAAAATTATGAAGAATTCTTGAATATTGCTGATAGGCTTGGTGATGTTAAGCCTAGAGGATTGAATAAAGCTGAAATAGACCAGCTACCCTCTTTCAAGTAAGTTGCTTTTAGAAAAGCGCTTGATTTTTTCATTAATAGGTGCTAATTTTACTTTTAGATAAAAAAAAGTTTTCTTGAACCTTTTGGTTTCCAGTATTAGTTGGGTTGTATTTTTAATATTATTACACATAGCTACAACATTATACTTATTCTTGGCCATTATTTCACTCATCTTTTGAGTACTAATTTTAGTTAAAAAATCAAATTAAGAATTTATTAGAACAATTCAAATATGTTTAAGAAAAAAAGATTTTATGTATGATATGTGGGTAACCTTTTTATAATTAATTAGAGGCTGCCTTTAAGTTAGGCAGTGATAATAAATTAATTTATATTCCAGGTATTGAATTTGTTTAACCATACATATATATATATATATATATATATATATATATATATATATCATATTATTAATCGCGTCTCGGGGCATACGCACCACATGGCCCAACCATCTGATCTGGTTTTCCCTCACAATTGAGACAGTGATTAGTGCTCCCAAATATTTAAAATTTTCGGCCACTTTTAGGGTTTGGTTATCAATTGTGACACGTTCGACTGTTTCACTTGGCTTTTTTGAAGTTTGCATGTAAACAATCTTCTGTTTATTTATTTGTAGCCCTAGTTCTATTTTTATTAGTTTTATTTTTATTAGTTATTTCAAATTCTTCTAATGCCCCTGCTAATGATGTTTTCTTTTTTGCCGTTATTACATCATCAGCATAAGCCAGATGTTGTGCCATCCTATTGTAAATCGTGCCACAAGATACGTCCGGATCGCCTTTATTGCATACTCCAAAGCAATATTAAATAGAGTAGAGGATAAAGGATCTGCTTGCCTAAGCCCATCCTTCACCTCAAAATCCTCCGACAATTGGCCATTAATTTTCACAACTGATCTACCGCTTAGGGTCATTCTTGTCAAACTGACCAGTTTTTTGGGGATCGCTAATTTTGTCATTGCCTTCAGTAATTCTTCTCTGCTTATACTATCATATGCCTGTTACTATCATAGAGGCATTTCATTGTTAAGTACAGTATACATCAGTAGTATTATTCATATTTAATTAGATAAATATATATATAATGTATGGTTAAACAAATACAATACCTGGAATATAAATTAATTTATTATCACTGTCTAACCAAAAGGCAGCCTCTAATTAATTATAAAAAGGTTACCCACATATCATACATAAAATCTTTTTATCTTAAACATATTTGAATTGTTGTAATAAATTCTTAATTTGATTTTTTAACTAAAATTAATAAATAATAAAATATACATATATATATACATGAGAAAGTAGGTGATGGAATTCAAGAAAATCTTTATGGATTCATTATTTTACCAGAACCCACCTTTTTTATTTCAACTTTGAGCGAAATCGAACGAGCCGTTTCTGAAATATTGGCATATCGATGAAAACACTTTTACTCATGTCCAAGCGGAAGTGCTGGACAGAATTTAATAAATTTTTTTTTTTTTTTTTTATTTTTTTTTATTTCTTTATGACATTTACAACTGTATTACATAAATACATCAAATAAATTTGGACATAATTGATATAATGACATGAATACACTTGCTGAGTAACTACCCAATGGTAGCACTCTAATGATATGACTACATTAGGAGATCACGGGTAATAAAATTTATATGGGCCCATCTAAGCACCAACCTGTACAATTCCTGAAAATTTCATGAAAATCGGATGAACGGTAGTAGGTGATATGCCTGTCACATCAATTTGACTACAGACACACTGAACCAAATTTGATCCTTGATGTCTGAAATGTAAAACGCGAGTGAAAATTTTTGATTCTGAGCCTTACATTTTTTTTATCGCCTCGCACGAATATAATGCAATGAAATATAAACAAAAAAATATAATTTAATACTTTCTACAGTAAAACAGTAAGTAATAAAACAACAATTAGTAATAAATATAAGCATAGTATACAAATATAAGTATATGTAAGTGTAGCATATAAATAATAATAAACATAAATCATAAGCATGAGATAATACAATAAAATATGATATGCATTCCATATAAATATATGTCATGCATACGATAAACAGGACAAAATATGTAAGAGCATAAGTTTTGGAAATGATTTTTTGTACACAGATCGTTAATGTCATTATTCATTGACAATAAAGGCAATCTACAACATTGCCTGTTATAATTAAACAGGTTCTTGAGGAAGACTTCATTGTCAGTCTTGAATAATTTGATCTTGTACTGTTGACGGAATGAGGAAGGGAGTGTAATTCGTGCACTGGATGAAAATATGAATCAGGTCCTCTAATTCAGTTAGATTACAAATAGTGCAAATTTTTTTTGGCTTAAAATAATAATATGTGTTATTAAAAGTTTATTTAATATGATAATGGCTGGATAATCTAATCTGTGTTGGTCCTAGGTGATAAGGTGATAACCTAATGTTTTGATCATAGTAACGGGGCATTTAATGCTATCTAATGGTTATCAATCACTGTGTACATGTTGGGATGTTTATTAAATTTATATTAAAAAATGTCATATAAAACATTCTCTAGAATTATTGTATTAAGTACTTTGCATTGTTAATAATTTAAAATGCTCAAACAATAGTTAGTTTAATGAATCACAGAAACAACTGTTTGTCATCATTATTTTACGAGCTGGCTAAATTGGTATATTTGCGCTTCATTGACCACTCACGCAGTGTGAGATAAATTTTTCTAGTATTAATATAAGTATAAAAAATATATCACAGATGTGAGTTTCGTTAAGTAATGTTAAATGTGGAGAAAATCATGAAGAGTATATTACCTTTAGTGAACGGAATAAAAATAATTTGTTTGTTAAAATCAAATCCAAAATTTTCAATTTTTTTATTTAAAAACAAATTCATATTTAAGAGTTTTAAAGACTGTATAAACGAATCTGAATCGTTTATTCATGGGAAAAATTTATTTGGCCTACTTTAATTGATCATCTTTTAGTTTTTCTAATTTATTATTCATTTGAATTCATTTAATACAATCAACAATATGTTTTTTTTATTTTACAAAAAAAAAAGTCGATTGTTATGAGTTAGAAATCCATGTAATGCTAAGGCAGAAAGCAATATTATAAAAACAAAAGTTAAAATTTTATAAAATATTTTCTTCTGGGCTCCTATCTTAGGCGAATAAGAACTGGTAAGAACCCTCAGTTATTGGTCCAACATTTTTCGACCTAATTTCATTAAGAACAAATTTCATTAAATTCGGTGACCCCAGATATGTAGGCTCTAATATACAGTTGCTGTCATAGAAATTGCTCCACCTATTTATTTTTATTCTTATATTGTTAACGTTGATTTCATTGAATATTTTTTTTCCCCTTACTTTTTTAGATTACAAGAAAACTAACAATGTTTCTTGTCATAGTTTTAAATAATGCTAGGATAAAAGCTGTAATTATAACCAGTTCCAACAAACTGTTCTCAAAAAATAATAAAATTGCATGAAGAGAATAAATTTTCACAGGAAATAGTCACGAGGATAGGGTACCACCAATCAACGTTAGTCATAGTTTTAAAAAAGAAGAAGTCACAATTGAGTGAAAGAATAGAACTAGGAGAAAAAAAAACCAAACAAACAATTTGACTGCTTAATGTTGCAATTGTTTTTAGAATATATTCGAAGATCTTGCAGATAGCAATCTGGTATACAAAATTAAATTTTTACTGGGTAATGCAATTTCTCTAACCACAACAGTACTATGTACTAATATAATACAAACAATTCTTTCTTAATTGCTAATTCGAGAGTTACTCTTTTAACCACAGATTTAGTGAAGTTAATTTATGTTTAAGCATATTTTTGTTTTGGAGAGGGTACTATTACATTAAAACTGATGAAGGATAAAAATGTACCCTATGTTTATGTAATTAGGTAATGAGGTTAAAGAGGGAAATACATTTCCCAAAACCTATTGAAATAAAAAAAAAACAGTAAATTTGTTTTTCCTAATTAGTTTTATCTATTGGAAGATTATTTAAAAAAATATCTTCTACTTTTGTATAATTCTTGTAATTGAATTTACACTAATTTGAAATAATTACTTAATTTTCACCTCTGTAAAGTAATTTCAATTGTATAACGTCTAATTTTATATTTATTCTCTTTTTAATTTAATTTCCTCTTCAAACATTTTTGAAACTTGATTTCATTCATATTTTTATTTTTGGGATCATGCAAAATATAATTTCTCTAATGACAATTTCAAATAAACCCTTCATCCATTATTTCAAATCAGGATAAATGAATATATAACGGTTCTTTCATCATTAATTGAGTTCAGGATTTTTTTTCTTGAACTAGCGTAATGGGCTGCTGTTTTCTATCTATAGCATTAGTAATTCCTACAACCCTTAATGGAACCTAATTAAAAAATAATTTATGTATAACTAATATAAGTACAGAAGTGGTGTCAATTGAAAATTGAGTTATAAGTTTTTCTTTCATGTGTATTATTACTTGTAGCATATGATAGTTCTTTAAACTTTTTTTTTTAATTTGCATATGTTTCAATATTTCTATATATAATTTTCCAAATTATTTTATCAAAAATGAAAAAAAAATATATGTATATACATAAATAATACATGTATATAAAAAAACTACAAGATGTTTGTTGCTTTTTATTTTGTTTGTAAATTAATGCAGGATTTATTGGAGCTTATTAAACAGTAAGTCTTATTTTCTGTTATGCTGTGTAATTATAAAGGCACGTGCAACTGTGTGTCATGCTAGTTGTTCAAAATTGGGATGTGGTCAGCCAGGATGTTCTTAATTTTTTTTTAATATATCTTCTGAATTTTCTTGGAAGGCTATATCTATTAATTAATTTTTAGGCAACTAAACCTCCATTTTAAAACCATTTTATAGTTAAAAAATAATAACTTATTAACATTTCATGGTACATGCTTAAAGAATGCAAGTGTGTAACAGTTTTCATTGTGTAGATATATCCTATAAATTAAACAAAGAGTATAAAATATAGGTATAATAATTGTGAAGGTTCAGGATGTGGGAGTGAAGGAGGGAGTAAAGTTGTGGCATTCTTTCGATATAGTCGTGGAACACATAATTCAATGTATATATATATAGTTACTCTCAATTCTTTCAGAGTTTCCCTCTTAATCCCTCTAGACCTAGGGTTTCTACATTTTTTGCCCTGCAGGCCAAATTGACACCACTAAGTCTATGGGCCATGATTGTTAATGATAATAAACATATTGATACATTAATATTTAAAAATATCACTACTAGTGATACAAAAAAAAAAAAAAGATTGATATTTTAAGAAAAAGTAATTGAGAAAAATTATAATAAATGTTAAAAAAATCCAGCAAATATTCTTACTATGCCTAACCTTAATAACCTTAATTTAAAATTTGCTAAAAACAAATTCAAAGTTTTTTGTAAGTGTAGAAACTTTAGATTTCTATCAATTATTTACAAATTTGGAAGAATTTTTTCTCTAAATTCCGTCTTAATTTGTCATTATTTAATTTATATTTAGTTTGATTGATGTTCATAATTTTTTTTTTATTTGTTGCTATTTTCTACTGGTATAATTAATAAAGAGACATATTCTGAACCATGTTTTAATACTGGAGTGGTTTTTATTTTTACTAATTTATGTAATAAAAATAATGAAATTTTAAATTAAAAAAGTTATTCGTTTTTAAAGTTGAGTAAAAGTTATGATAAATAAAAACTTGTTGAATATTTTAAAAATAACTGCTTGATGACCCACAAAAATTTGATGTCTTTAGAATTATTTGGCAGCATAGGATCCTTAAAATGAAGAGACTCTCAACTTTCGTAGTAGGTGTCTTTAGTTCCTTCCATATTAAAGGTTTTTAAAATGATGGTGATTCAAAACCAGTTGTCCCTCATTTTATCATTAATCAAATGTCGATTTGATCACACTTTAAAACGTCTATATTACCTTCACCACCTATTTCCATTTAAAAACTGTAGCTCCTCCCCCCCCCCCTCCCCCTAGTTACTTCCTTAATTTGTCTCCACTTTGACTATTGCAGCACGGTGTATGGGGGCATCTCTGGGGATCTCGAGGCGAAACTAATATGTTATTGATAAATTGCTTTATACGATTCATCTTCGGGATCCCAAGGAACAACTGTCTACCGTTTTTATGAAGGCTTTATCCGCCGTCCTTAATATATCTCTGAGCTCCTTCAATTCACAATTCAAATCTTCTATTGACTCCTGTAAAACCCGTTTTAGGTCTTCAGATTTATATACAAGGACCCATCGAATCACTGCTTTCGATAGATCTTTTATTATTTAATCCTCATCCCTATGGAATTCTGCCCCTTCCTACATCAGCGCTCCAATACCCTCTCCCATGTTTAAATCCTGCCTCTTAAATTACTTCCTTTCCATTCAGTCCCCATAAAATTGTAAATGGATGTTACTATAAATATTTATATAAATTAATAGTTAGTTTTAATTGTTTTTATTCACTTTTCTTTAATTTTTTTCTTAATTGATTAAAGTTAGAAGGTAACTTATACTTTTTTTGATTATGTATATTTGTTTATTCTGAGGCTCTAATTTATTAATATATGGTGGTCATTGATTTTTACTGTATATGCAGATGTAAATAGAAAGATTTGGAATTGTTTCAGGTTCAATGCTGGTGACCAGGAGGGTGATCAAACTTCTTGTGTAATATGTTTATGCGACTTTGAAACTCGCCAAATTTTAAGAGGTTTGCCTTGTTCTCACCAGTTCCATGCCAAGTGTGTTGATAAGTGGCTCAAGGTATGTTCTCTAACTACTTATTTTCTTAATTTTTTTTTTTATTTGTTACAATCCCTTAATGTACCAAAACTGGATAGTAGCCATCAATATTGATTTCTCGTTTGCAATAAACTCTCTCTCTAATGTCATTGCTAAGAAAGTAAATGGTTTGATTAATTTGAATACTTTTAAATTTTTACGTGTCAGTTCCTTTTTTGGAGAAAATTTGTCTCATTTGCTAGTTTGGAGAAACAAGCATTAGACAAGTTGTTTCCTCTACCTTGTTGTTACTATAAAGTTTGGTATATAACCTGTTAGTAATTCCTTTTGTCTGTCGACTATTAGAATATTAGAATCCACCTCATTCTTCATTGTTTTTATTTGTTATATTGTACATATTGCATTAGTCAGGTGTGGTAGTTTCTGCAGCCATCTGTTTTAAAGTATCATTTACATTGGTAGCTGAATGATGCTGAACAGAGAAGCACCTTTTTACCTCTCTGAAAACCCTAGAGTCCAAGATTGTTTTTCTTCTTCAAAACTTTTCTTTATCATTTTTCTGATGGTACCAACCAATCATATTTTATTTTTCTTAAAACTCGTGTTTTTTTTATTAAACACAGCTTTTTGTTCATTATCACCAAAAATTAAATCTAATATTAGCTTGGGTGATAAATATTCAGGATGCAGTATTTTTTTTTTTTTTTCAAGTACTGAACACCCTCAGTGCTCAAACCACGCCCTGAAGATGACCCACATGTTTGGGTTGGAACGTTAGCATAAATGAAAAATTAAAAAAAAGACTGCGTCCTGAATATTAATCACCCATGATATGTAGAACAGTCAATTAATTTCCTTCTCTAATATTCGCTAGTTAACAAGGCTAGAAAAATAATTGTCTTCTATAGTTATCAATATCACCTGAGAAGTTTGACCATTTCCCAATATGCAAAATGGTTTTTCTACAAATCTCTCATCAAACCTATTCTTACTCCTAGATCAGAGAAACATGGACTCTATATTCAAAAAATAAAAATAATGGAATCCAAAACGATATCATTTAACTATCAAACGTTGCATTGTCATTTTCATATAGTTCATAGTAATGTTTATTTTTTAATTTTAAAAATATATAATTATTATTATTTATTTATTTTTTTTTTTTAGTCCAATCCAACTTGCCCCATCTGCCGTGGAGATGCTTCAGGATATGTCTTGTGCTCTGAGTAAGAACTTTCACCATTGTGCATCTTTTATTTAAAAAAAAAAAAAAAAGTTAATGAAGTGAAATATATCTGGGGTTTGGCTTTTAAATATCATTTGTCTTGGTGGGGTGTGATTGTACTTTCCATTTACATAATTCTTCTGGGAAAAGTTTTTTTATTAATAAGGCAAAAAAGGAGAGAGCGGGGAAAAAAAAAGTTCTATTTTGTTGATAATTTTCTGCACCCGACTTTTGTATATTTATTAGTTAATATTGTTAGTTTATCCTGCCTAAAATCATATATAGAAACTATCTGTTATTTTTAGAATTGAATCAATTGTTGCTTATAAAGTTATTTTTTAATGTTAATGTATTGTTTGTTGAATTTTTTGAAATTTTTCATTATATGTTTGCAGTGAATTTGTTTATAATTGAAAATGTACATCTTACATAACTTTTTAAATAGTTATTCTTATTTACAGATAGTAATGATCTCACAATAACTTATCTTACAATAATGCTGTTTACATATTGTTAAAGTTACCATAATTCGAAAATAATAGTGCCATTCATATCCTGTCCATTTTTATTAAATTAATTTTGTACCAAATGTAAAACTCACTTCATCTTAGTCTTTTATATAAGTGAAATTGGACTAAAATATTTTCAACTGTTCGTTAATTCATTTTTTGATACTCATTTAGAGTATTTTTTTTTTTAATTTCACTTCTGTAAATATTGTGATGCTAATCCCTTTAGTTCAAGGTTTTAATCTTGTTTAGTCTATTTCTAATTGCTTGTACCTGTATTTTTAATGGAGTTCCCTGGGTTGTATCTGTGGTTTATGTATTTAACAGCCTTAACATTTCCAATAATTGAAATTTAATATTTCGCTGTTCACAAATACTTTTTCTATGAACTTAAATTAGCTATGAACTTTTGAGCATGGGAAGGGAACATCACTTACCATTTTAATTATGTAAAATACAAAACTTATAAATTAATCACATGTATGACATATGTATATGTATATATTTTTATATGTATAATATATATGCACATATGTAAGTCATACTTTTCTTCATGCTATTTCACCAAATAATTAGATAATTATATATATTAAATAAGAAATACAAAGTGTTTTTGTTTTTTTATTAGTGACATATTAATTAGTTGTTTAGGATGAGAAATTATCTTGTTAGTTAAATTAGTAAATTTTTTGGAATTATCTGTTCAATTCTGCTGTTTAATTTATGATTGAATCTGCGATTCACTTACACTTCTTTCATTCTGTAATTTTAATAATTTTCATCTTTGAAAATGATATTTGCATATGTAGTATGTTTTGATGCTGTTGAGATTTGATTATCAGTATCTATGTGTAATATCTTTTAACTCTTTGACTCTACATATAGCATACTTATAGTTAGGTTGAAAAGTACAATAACCCTCTATCAATTAATATGCTTAAGTCACTCAAGTTGTTGATAGTTACATCCTATTCACAGATTAGTAAAGAGCAACTTGTGTGTAATTAACAGAATAGAACCGGTATAACTTTTGTGATAATGTACGTAATTAGGTTAAATTGATAGATTGTAAAAATTATAAGCATATCCTTATTAACTTCTGTGTAACGAAGTTTGTTGAGTATGAGGGTGGAGGTATTAATACATTTATATATTATAGATTGTGTTTTCATTTTAAGGTGAAGTAATGATGGGTTTATTTTTTCTTCTTTAAACATTTAAATTGTAGATGTTAAGGTATCCTTGTATTTAACATTAAGTGGCTTTACTTTTATAACACCTTTGCCTTCATTGTTAACATTCTCTGTATATCAAGTTTTTAAGGAGTGTTGCTTTCACAAAAATAAAAGTTGTGCATGATACGTACATTTTAATATATGGCTTTTATCATTGTGTAAATAAAAGACATATGCTTGTCAATATGGATACATTTAATAAGAATGAATTAAGCATTTTTATAGGATATATGTATGTACATGAAGCTGTATTGCACTTGCTAAATAAATCTACGTGTGCCAACACTACTGTGGAAGACAAGAATTGTATAATTTGTCCTCATATAGGTATTTGTAAATACAATGAGAGATATATAGTAATCATTGATTTATTACTTGATAATTAATATTTCTAGCTTTTATATTGTGACTTTGTATGCTGTTTCGATAATTGTTATATGATAGCAAAATTTTAGATATTAGGTTAGGTTGTTTTTTCTATTTATTTGTTTTTTCATTAATTTTGTTTATTGTAGGGGTTATAATGTACATTTTCTAAGGACTGAGGCACTTAATCCTTTATTTCTAGTTATTAATTTTTAGTCTGCTTTGAGGGTATTTTTTTCTTGTATAACAGCTTAAAAGACATCAGGGTGTTGTTCCATCTGGTATAAATGCTCAATGTAATGTTAAGCATAAATTTATCCTAATTGCACTGTATTAGTAACTTTAGATATCAGGGAATAACCTGCTTTCGTCATCGTGATAAAAATGACTTTATTTAGATTTGATAGTTTTAAGTTTTGCGTATTTTATGTATGTGTTATGTTCTTAGTTTCAATCATAGCTTTATTACACTTAATGCTTTATTATTTAGTATAATATGAACTGAACTAATGTTTATTAGGCTTTTGATGTATTTTATATTATTTACATGTTGTATTTTTGTTTTTTTTTTATTCGAGACAATCATTTTATCGAACTTAAGAGAATATTAACCATATAGATGTTTAAATTTCTTCGATTGAAATCACATGAATTAAAGTAAGAGATATGGTTTGTATCTTTCATTGAAAAAGTTACCTAGTTGTTGAGTGGCATGTTTTAAGTAAAATTCTATTTATGGAAATTTACGGCATTTTGAAAAATTTAACAAAAAAAAAAAAAAGTTAAATTTTTTTTTTTATAGATGTTGCAAAAAATGAAAAACATCAAGAATTATGATATTTTTGTAGAAGTTATCTATAATAATAGGCAAATTTAAACTACTGGCATACATCTCTTGAAGTATGACAACCACCTTCCATTAAGATCTGCTTTAATTTAATATATATAAAACATGAAGTGCTTGTGATTAGTTAAAAAATTATAAGACATCGTGATTAGCAATATAATGCCTTAGTGTTTCTTTCCCACATTTTCAAAATGCCTTATATATTTATAGGAAGGTGTTTATAAAAATATGTGCCTCTTAAATGAAATTCATAGTCCATTAAATTTATATGATTATCTAAGAAATAATTAGTTTTATCTATGTACCACTTCTATTACTATTGCTAATTATCGTTTGCAATTTTTTCATTTTTTTTATGCTTATGGATTTTATAGATTAAAATGATTATTTTAATTTTTTAATGTACTTTGCACTAAATTAAAAATAAAATAAAAACGATCTTCTTTACAGTTGCAGTTTACTTTAATTTTTTGTTGAAGTAAAGTTTCATTTAATATACATTTGAATCTCTTAATAATCTTTATTATTAAACCAATTTTATCTGTTCTCTAGTCCTCCATTATTGTAACCGTATACCTCATCATTAGTTTTCTTCGTTAAAAAAAAAAAAAGTCTACTCATAAATATTAAATAATATTCTTCTTCATAACTTTTAATCAAAATTTGTGTGTGTCAAGTATATAGTACAAAAATATGCCTCTATATATTGTAATGCCACTGAAACTTGTGGACTCAATTGTTATTTTCTACTTAGAGATATATAATATATATATATATATATATGATTGCTTTAAAAAATGAATAATGTTATTGCATGTAATAAAAATTCTTTCAGTGATATGCACAATTATTTCTTGCAGAGCTAAATAGCAATATTAATACTAGTAAGAATTAGAAATAGCAGTAGAGTGCTTATGTTTATAGAGAAAAAAAATGACTAATAAATTGTTTATGTGGCTTGTTTTCATTGTAAACCTATCTTAATATTGTTGTGATTTGATTTGTCTAAATCAATTTGCAATTATAAAGGAAGAGGTGTCTTTCTACTCCTAAAAATACTTGTAGATATATTTTGTTATATAGGCAGACACACTGCAAAAGCCTGTAAGTGCAAAAACTAATATGAATTTTATAAGCTATGAACAAGATTTTCTATTTGGTTTTTATTACATTTTTAAAACAAAAAACTAATGTTATAAATAAGCTTGTGGCTATGAAGGACCAGACTCAAAACCATATCTCTTGATGGAATTGTTCTTAGGCTTTTGGAACGTGACTATCTTTATCATATTTTGTTTAAAGATAGAGCAGTCTTTTAAAAACTATTCTATTACAATAAAACAAAGTAAGGACTTCAATAGTACGAACACTACAGTAGTCTTAACTTGCCTCCCAAAAAAAGGGAGAAGGAATGGAAGATTGGAAGTTTCATTCAGAAAAGCAAAAACGGACTGATAAAGTAAGAAACAAAAAATGATCAAGCTTGGTTGATTAATTTTGAAGAATCTTCTTAGCTTATTCAAAGTCACCATATCTTTGATTTTTCTGAGAATCTCACATTGTCTTATAATAAAGCAGCGTGGCAATAAGGCTGGAAGATGGAGTATCCTGTTTCAACCACTGTATTCAAAGGATACTGCTAACATGTAGAGGAGATGCAGTGAAACTAGATTCTTTAAAAAACTTAAAACATACAAATTCAATGTTCTCAAGTAAGTTCACAAATATGTGGGAGGAAATGGGGTGGCCAAGTGGGCTAATGTGTGTAAAACATGTTGCCTGGCATCGTTTTAGAACCTGCAATTAAAGAGTCGAATCCCTGTGCCAGGGGTACTTTTAACTCTGACATTAATCCATGGCCTGGCAAAAACTCCGTTAGCCGATAAGGCGAGGAAAGGGAGAACAAAAAAAAAAAAAATCACAATTATCCAATCACTGCACTCAATTGGGAACTGAGAACAACATACTGTGGCAACAACTCGATAACATTTAAAAATAAGATACAGTGAAAATGGATCATTTAAAAAGAAAATAAATTACATACAAATTTAATTCTTTAAAGTCAATTCACAAATAAAAATTCAGCCAGACCCCCTTACCTTCCACCCTCCCTCCCCACATCCCTATAAATCACATATCATTGTGTTCCTTGTGACAATTTATTAAAAAAAAGCCAATGTTCCCACAAAAAAAAGTGAATGAACTGCCCCAAAATGGTGTCCAAACATGGCGGATTGACGACTTTGATTTTAGTTAGTTTTTTTGTTACTGAGAATCAGCATTTGGCTAAATTTCATCATGGTTGGTCTTTTATTAAAGCTGGATAGTCAGAGAATAATAAAACATGAAAAAATGTTAAAAACTAACTGGTTTAGGCATTAAAAAAAATCGGTAAAGTCAATTTTTTTTATAAAAAAATTTTCAAGTTGAAAATCAAGCGCCGTTTGTAATTAAACGGTCAACAATAATGCAAAACGTGCTGAAATAAAACATCTGGAGAATACATTTCTCTTTCTAAAACACTGATTACTTTTTAAAATATTTGAAGCAGTTCTGTAGAAAATGCACTTAAGCGGCAGAAAAGCGCTACTGGCGTAGGCGCCTTCAGGCCTCTACCACACCACTCAGTACTCATAAATGGCTTAGTTATAGTGCTATAATAACGTTTTGTTATATTATATTGATTGTATTAACGAACTAATATTAATACAATAATTTAATTGTCAAATATTATTTTTTTATTTATTTTATTTAAATTTAACTTCCTTTATTCTATACGGAGGTCGCTTAAGAATGGCTCTATTATAAAAATTATATAATTATAATAATAAAACTTAATTCAAAAATACTTTGCAGAATATCTTGAATTTTTTATTTAATATTTGCAATTTAACATTTTGTTTTATATATTTACTGATTCTTAGAGGTAATTTAAATTGTATATACTTCCCCGAAAATGAGTCATATTAATATCTGTTTTATAAACTAAAATAATATATACCTAATCTGAACTACTTTTAATGAATAGGTGATGGATTGTTTAGTAAAATTCATATATCGCTATTAAAAAAAATAATTTTTATTTCCTTCATTTTTTTCGGAAGTTGGACCATATCACAAAAAATACGAAATTTTAAGATTAAATGCATTTATCTCTCTGCACAAAAGAAATATGGAAAGGGCGAAGCTATAAGTTCTTCTAGGTAACTGGAACTGATTGTTAGTATTGCTCTCAAAATGAGGTCAAAGTCGAAATTGAACCCAAACATTGGAAAAATACATTAAGTGAACGACAAAAGAAGTGCCAAAATTTCGGAAAAGAAAACAAGGATCAGTATCCGTTATATGGCTAAACGAATATATAGTAGACAGATGAACGGAATATTTCAAGATGGTGCTAAAAGAGGGTCAAAATGCTTGATGAGTTTGGATGATATTAAGCAGATTTATTATGGTGAAGACCATTTCATCAGCAAGAAAGATTTGTTCTAAGCAAGTGGCAAGCAGGTTTGGAGGAAGTAAACGAGGTTTATAATGGTGAAAACCACTTTATTTTAGATTGCTATTGAAGTTGCACCTTGGGACTATCTTCACTTTGAAGCAGGCTATAGAGAGGTCTATCGATAAAAGAAAATAGCTCTCCTCCTGTTTAGTGCAATTGCAAAAGATTTTTGAAGGAATCTGAAAGGAAAACGAGCTTTTGTGAAAGACTAGTAGATATTAGATCAATCCAAAGTGTGAGGCACTAAGCAGATAGAGAACCATTTTCCTTTCTCTGTGGACTTCTCTATAACCTACCTTAAAGTGAAGACAGTCCCAATTTGCAACTTATGGTCCAATGTGCAACTTGAGTTTCTCAATCCATATCGCTCAGACAATCGACGATATTTCTTATTCCGGCTTCTACGATTCTTGAGTAGACTTTCTTTGGTACTATAAACAGTAAGGAATCTCGAATAACATTTTCTAGTATCTCATTTCCTGTAAAGGGACAAAACTACAGTCCTTTCATATAATTTTCTAATACATTTGTAGCCTTTGTACGCACAGCATTTATTTCGGGTTACTTCGTCCAGACCAGATGACTTGCCAATTGCTTAAAACAAATCTTTCTTGCTGATGAAATGGTCTTCACTATAATAAACCTGCTTAATATCATCCAAACTCATCAAGCATTTTGACCCTCTTTTAGCAGCATCTTGAAATATTCTGTCCATCTGTCTACTATATATTCGTTTAGCCATATAACGGATACTGATCCTTGTTTTCTTTTCCGAAATTTTGGCACTTCTTTTGTCGTTCACTTAATGTATTTTTCCAATGTTTGGGTTCAATTTCGACTTTTCCCTCATTTTGAGACCAAATACTAACAATCAGTTCTAGTTACCTAGAAGAACTTATAGCTTCGCCCTTTCCATATTTCTTTTGTGCAGAGAGATAAATGCATTTAATCTTAAAATTTCGTATTTTTTGTGATATGGTCCAACTTCCGAAAAAAATGAAGGAAATAAAAATTATTTTTTTTAATAGCGATATATGAATTTTACTAAACAAACCATCACCTATTCATTAAAAGTAGTTCAGATTAGGTATATATTATTTTAGTTTATAAAACAGATATTAATATGACTCATTTTCGGAGAAGTATATACAATTTAAATTATCTCTAAGAATCAGTAAATATATAAAACAAAATGTTAAATTGCAAATATTAAATAAAAAATTCAAGATATTCTGCAAAGTATTTTTGAATTAAGTTTTATTATTATAATTATATAATTTTTATAATAGAGCCATTCTTAAGCGACCTCCGTATAGAATAAAGGAAGTTAAATTTTAAAAAATAAATAATAATAAAAAAAAAAAATAATAAATTAAAAAAATTTTTTTTTTTGACAAATAAATTATTTTATTAATATTTGTTCGTTAATATAATCAATATAATATAACAAAAACGTTATTATAGCACTATAACTAAGCCATTTATGAGTACCGAGTGGTGTGGTAGAGGCCTGAAGGCGCCTACGCCAGTAGCACTTTTCTGCCGCTTAAGAACATTTTCTACGGAACTACTTCAAATATTTTAAAAAGTAATCAGTGTTTTAGAAAGAGAAATGTATTCTCCAGATGTTTTATTTCAGCACGTTTTGCATTATTGTTGACCGTTTAATTACAAACGACGCTTGTTTTTCAACTTGAAATTTTTTTTGTAAAAAAAATTGACTTTACCGATTTGTTTAATGCCTAAACCAATTAGTTTTTAATATTTTTTCATGTTTTATTATTCTCTGATTATCCAGCTTTAATAAAAGACCAACTATGATGAAATTAAGCCAAATGCTGATTCTCAGTAACAAAATAACTAACTTAAGTCAAAGTAGTCAATCTGCCATGTTTGGGGCAGTTCGTTCACTTTTTTTGGTGGGAACATTGGCTTTTTTTAAATAAATTGTCACAAGGAACACAATGATATGCAATTTATAGGGATGTGGGGGGGGGGGGGGCGCACGGTAAGGAGGTCTGGCCCACCGTGTATGTAGGCTAGACTCCAGTTTTTAGGTACAAAATGTAAATGAAACTTACATTCAACAAGCTCATATTTTCTGTTTGAGTGGAAACAGACTGACTTATGTTGACAAGATTTTAAGATCATATTTATTTAAAGATTGGTGTTGCCTATGCACATGCTTCATCTATATACTGTTTTCCCACTATCTCTTTTGAACAACTGACATGGACCTATAGTTTGGATTGAGGAAATTATATCAACAACATGGAATAGAAGTTTTGTGTCCTATTCACAAAAAGGACGATTTCTCTTGTGCAATGATTATCAAGGCATTTCTCTTCTACCATGGGCGTAAAGATGCAGTCGCTAATATACTGCACCAATGATTGAGGATTGTTGGGGAAGTATTAGTACTAAAGTGCCTTTCAAAAAACGAAGTCCATAGAACATCAGATATTCACTTAT